CAAAACAAAGGTTTAGTGAAGACTTCCAATTACTTCCATCAAGGAGTAAATTGATTTGACTAAGTCTCATGATGTTGCTGTACAGTATTATTATTTACTGAGGAAGATGTTTCAAGCACAATTTATTGCTGCTCATAATCACATCAAGATTTACTCAACACAACTTTCCAGTTTCGTGTACACCATTCCACTATTTATTATTTCTTGATTTGATTGGGAGTAATATTTTCCATATCTCTGGTATTGGTGATGAATCATTCCTATTGCACGTGTCGGGTGTAGATTATTGGATGAACAAGGATTCAGTAATCAGCCTCTCTATCCACCTACCCTATTTTGTGGTTGTGTGTTAATGCATGCAGTGCGATTGCTGAGCTTTTCTAAATTACTTATCTTCTCGGGCGGGGTCAACCATTCTTACCTTAGCTAAATTCTTATGTTCTGACAATCTGACTACCCCTGATCTACTAGTTTGACCTATGTAGCTGACTTAAATGACAGTCAATGCAAGGTATTTTGTAAATTATATTATTTAGTCTAATTGGGTCAACTGACAGGGTCCTTTAACCGACAGAGTTTGTCCTACCTGAGTGAGTTTGTAGGTTTAAATGCCACCCTAATTCCTGCCTTATTCAGAATTCTACATAGGGTGGGTCTCAGATGTCCCTTCTTTATATGGTAGAACTGTAGATGCTTTAAATTCTTCCTTATTTATGTTATTATTTACTAGTATGAATATGTAGCCGTTTAGAGGTGACTGTGCGTGAGTAGACATAGGAGTAATTCTGCTAAAAGAAGCTATGGCCTACTCAGGGGAATTTTCACTAAGTATTACTTTTTTTATTTTTAAAACACTTTGGGAAAGTAGTGAAAAAATTCTACAGTGTATAGAACAGGCATTATCAATGAAATATTAATACACTCGATGATAAGATGAAATAGTCACAAAAACCGATCACAACCATGACAGTAGTTTATCTCAGGAGAAACCCGTGTCAGACGTTGTACGGCGTTATTTGAATGATAAGTACTGGGATTAACAATTAACCTTATAATATTTCATGAAATTGACCGATGTAATTATTTGGTATAAACATTCAAGTATCAGCTATGGGGCTTTGGGATCAAGTCCCACTCTGCTTACTTCAGCCTAAGCGGCTGGATACTAACGTCAGTGTAGCGTATATTCTGATTAATAGAAAATACATACTGTCTAAATGAGTTCTCCTCACAGCAGAGGTAAAGCCTTAGACAATATCTGTTGAATCCCAGCGAAACTGAGATAAGTAATTTCGTTCAGCAAACTGGTTCGAACTTCTTCGGGGAAAATGACTATGAGTTATGAAACAGATATTATTATTAGTATTTCCTTTAGTTCCTAGAGGAACATAGGGCTTCAGCTGCTTGTCTCCATTGTGTTCGGTTCTCTGTTAGAGTTTTCACCTGGCTCCAAGTCTGTCCACATGCTTTCATCTCCTCTTCACATGACCTCCTCCATGTCACCCTCGCACTGATGACCAACTCGCTGCCTCCCATCCAGGTTCCATTCGAGGGCTTGTCTAGTGATATTACTTGCTGGTTGCCTCAGAGTATGGCCAATCCATCTCCATTTCTTCCTGCCTATTTGTTTCACAATCGGTTCCTGCTGGGTTGGTTCTCTCATTGCAAGAGATTCCTACCTGTTGCTGATATTTTCTGGCCATCTGATCTTGAGTATTGAGCGAAGACAACTGTTGATGAAGATGTGTAGTTTGTTTGAGGTGCTCCTTATGACGCGCCAAGCCTCTGTTCAGTATAGTAAGTAGCACTGACTTCACATTCGAGTTGAAAATCCGGATCTTATTTTTGATGTTGAGTGCTGTTGACCTCCACACAGACCTGAGAGTAATGAAAGCTTGTCTTGCTTTTCCGATCCTCGATGTTTTGATATCCTTGTCAGTTCCGTTCGCCTGTAGTTGAAACGATGCTTTCCAGTTAGGTAGGTAGGTAAAGGAGGTTGCTTCTTTCAGGTTTCTCCCATTTATGCTGGCTGACTGTTGTCCGTTGTTGTTGTTGCTATTGGTGTTGGCCGGGAGTCTTCATAACCTCTGTTTTCTCTATGTATACCTGAACGAAGTCCTATCTTTGATGCCTCTTCTATTGCCTACTTGTTGCTTTTCACTTGCATATCTTCCAGTTTGTGGGAAATCAGACATATATCATCGGCGAAGTCCAGATCCTCCAAGTTCGTTTTTTGTGTGGGTTCATTTTATGCCTGTTTCTTCATTGCCCGTTGTCTGTTGCATTATCCAATCTACTCCAATCAGGAAGATCATTGGCGATAGTGGGCAGCCAGCTTGTCTTAGTCCCGTCCTCACTTCGAAGGATTCCGTAAGTTTCCCGTTGTGGATTACTTGGCATGCAGCATTGTCGTACAACTTATGGATGAAATGTATAATTGTCAGTGGCACCCCGTAGTAGCGAAGTGGTTGCCAAATCACCTCTCGATCGATGCTGTCAAAGGCCTTTTCAAAGTCGAAGAAGTTGAGGTAGAGGTAGAGAGGTGACTGTGATTCCAAGCTTTGTTCAATGATGATCCGTAGAGTGGTGATTTGATCAATATATGACTTGTTTCTTCCGAATCCAGCTTGTTCTGGTCGGAGTTTTTCATCGAGGGCTTGTTCAGTTCTCAAGCAGGTATCAAACAGGCATCAAAGTATAATAAAACAGAATTGCATGAACTGTGATCAAAATTTGACCGCAGACTTACAGTTATTAATCAACTTTTGTTAAACACTATAAGCAGTGTATACTTTTAATTCAATCTGAACTTTCAAGATGATTGGTTAGATCGCAGTATTTGACCTTTGTTGACCCGTCAGCTCCGTGTGCAGGTACTTACACGATATCTGAAGAGTTAACTTGAACTAATTTGGTGGGCAATGACTAGCATTGGAATCCAGGAGGCGCTTTTCGTCCCACTGGAGACTCATGGTATGGATTTACCTGTATTCCGTAGTGAATGATAGTGTCCCAAGTTAGGCTGGAACCTACTGCCCACATTTTTAAACTCCAAAGCGTTATACATTAGATCACTTGGGCCAAAAGAGCTATCTGTTTTGTAACGAGTATCAATGATTATTTAATTGAATTTGGACTTTCCTGTTGGTTGACTAAAGTTCATGGTCATAGGTAACTGAATATGAGAAATAAATGTATATGCGACATGCAGTGGTGTGTGCGTGGTGAGAGCATCCTGCTAGCCAATTGGTTGACATTAATCTACGTCAATGTCTAGGTCGCTAATATGGGCCGCGAGAAAATATGAACAAGCCCGTTTCAACAACCAATCACAGCAAACATAAACGTGGGCAAATATGATTCGCAGATAGATGGCTCCACTTTCCGAGGAACTCGAAAACAACCAATCAGAAGAATACGTTTGTCTATTTGATTAGGCTATAATAATGTATGTGAAATTTATACAAATACGTGTTGATTTTCGTAACAAAACGATCTTTTGCCTGGCCCTTGTCTTCTGTTGTTACTTGTGTACTCGCATAGCAGGACACTTATATATTATGCGACAGCCTTTCTATAAGAAGAAGATAACCAATAGAATTGTGTGTACGAGATCAGTTGTGGAGAATGCTATGCTGTATATGTAGAAGAGACTTCCAGATAGGTAAATAAAAGAGTAAAAGAGCATAAACAATGTCTACTGGTGGTTCCAAAGACTTCTGCAGACTTAAAGAAGCTAGAAAACAAATCAGTGATTGCACTGCATTCGATAGAAACAAGACACAAAATCGACTTTGATAAGACTAAGGTTTTACAGAAAGGTTTTGGTTCGTATAAAGCAAGACTGACTGACTGTAGAAGCCCTACGTATATGGGGGAATCGCACTAGCTTGAACAGACGTGAAGGTGTGATGTTAGCTGATGCATGGTAAGTCCTGATTAATGCATAAAAATGGATATGTATCACTAATCGATCATACCTAGTCTGAATTCCCGATTGTCTATATCTTTTTATGGAAAGGTTAACAAATGATGTACAACTGTTCCCTCATGTACACATACATATATTTGTCATATTCAGTTAGCAATGACCATAAACTTAAGTCTAACATAGTTACTAAGATGTAATGCAAAAGTACACACTGTTTATAGTGTATAACAAAAGCAGACTAATAGTTGTAAGTCTGTGGTCGCATTTTGATCACAATTCACACAATTTTGTTTATTATATATTTTGATGCCTGTTCATGACTCATATGACTAGACAAGAATCTTAAAGACAAGTGATGTCCTTTGTTATTTTTATTTTTATTAATTTCCCTGATGACGTTCGGACTAGTTTCCTCAATGAAACGTTGGAATTACCTTTTTAAATTTCGGTGAGATTTTACAAAAATATAATTTTTACATATGTCTACTTCTCACCAAGTGGAACTCTGTTCGATTAAATTTTGATCACAGTTCATAATGGATATTATAATTAGTAGTTGTGGTAAGACTGAGCGGTTGTCACAGGGTCACAATCGATGGAAAAATCTAAAATTCATTTAAAAATTAATATGACCCGTTGCAGAAGAGGTGCCTCTTATGGCCCAAGTGGTATAATGGGCCAAACGCTTTGGCGTTGAAACTACGGGCACTGGGTTCGAGCCTCGGTGGGAACATCATTCACTGAGAAATGCAGGTACATCCAGATGACGGGTCACAAATAGGACGAAATGCGCATTCTGGATTCCACTGCTAGTCACCATCCACCAATTAACTTCTAATTACATGTCCAAACATTGTCGGAGCATCTGTACGACAAGCCATGTCAATCTGAGACGGAGCACTTCGGTCCCATCAATGGACGGGAAAATCTAAAATGTGCATCTGTTATTAGTCCAAACCTGAGACCACGCTTTGTTCAGTAAGACTTCATTTATAAATATACGATAAAACTTTTCATCAATAGAAATCAAGAAAATATGTGTTATTATGTATAATTGAAAAGTACTCACTAATTTATACTCACCAGATATCCATAGTTAATTTACCTGAAATATTAGAACAATATAGCAGAAATATCCATTTTACTCAATAATAATATGCATAAATAAAAACACAGAATATACATGTCGACACCTACAGATAACGTAATGATGGATAACGTAGATAAGACTGTTAATTTCAGTTTCTGATGTAAAAGAAAGTTAAGTAATGAAGCTGTTGGTTCCTATGACCTTTGCAAAATTGATGATACTGATATAGAAATCAAGTCTGAAGCTAAACATCTTGGATTCATTCTTTCTTCTGACCTATCCTGGTCTTCCCGTGTCTTAGCGATCTCCGAAAGAATATTTCATCTGACCTTTTACATTGAGAAGTTAAGGGACTCTCGGGTATAAGTCAACCAAACACTCCTCTTACACTTTGTCAACTCGTGAATCTTACCTATTCTTCTTTACTATTCATCCTTGCTTATTCTTTCCTGGAGTGCTTAAAAAAGACTATGTCATACTTCATAGAACTCTGAAGACTAGCTGTCAGTAGGGGGAGTGGTATCTCATTGGACTATATTGTTGACACAGTCATTGATAGGTACTTGATTTCATGCAACAAATTTGCCACGGGAATCCTTTCAGACTGTGAGCGTCCACTGCAGCACCCAAATCTCCGACCTTGTGTCTCCTCAGGTGAAATAAGAAGTCTTTTCAGAAGACTTTATGCACGTACGTGTAAGTATAAAAATTCCACGATGCCAACCATATTTGGCACGTACTCTATGTGATGAAAGTAGTGTCAGGGACGAACGAACTGACTAACCATCTTTGCACTAGTAAGTAAACCATTTTCTCTATTCTTATTCCACCAAGCCTTAATGTCATTGTATTTATATGTATATTTATATTCCCCTTAACTTTTTGTTTTTATTTGTTTATTTTATCATAAGTGTGAACATCATTTAAGCTGTGTGAATAACTGTTAATTTTGTCTTTCTCCTCACCATACTGCATCAACAAAACATTAGATTCAATACTCTATAACATGGGGAGTTTCCAAACTGAATCGACAATACTGTTTGAAACAAACTCACTGTTATTATTATTATCATTACATTTAATATTCTCAATTCGTGCTTCGATTATTTTTTACTTTATATCGTAAATGTGGACAAATTCCTCTGGTTAATTTTGTTTTAATTTTTAATTTTATTTATATTTTGAGTAAATCAGATGCAGTATTGTGAGAAATGCTGAGAATTCCATTCTGTATTATAAGTAGTGTTTTTGGAATAAAGTAGATTATTGTTACTATTATAAGAAACCTGTGTATCTTAAGCTAAGTTATAAAATGGAGCTTGCAGCTGATATTCTCAAATGCCAACTTAATAGAGTAGTAGAAAGAACATTTCCTGCAGCTAAACTGGTACTCGGCTTCTCTACTAAACCAGTACTCACCCATAGCGAGTCAAGGATAAATTAATAACGACGGCCTCATCAGTTTACATCTATGAATCTAACTGTTCATATGGACCTGGTTACATTCGCCATACTCAGAAGGCACTTGAACACGTCCCTTTATAATTGAGTAAAGGAGAAATCAAATGCGTAAACAGTGGAGACTTAACCCACTCTGCGGATACTGGATATTCAAAAAAAATCAGAGCATGCCTTCTTGGCTATCCATAGCGTTCTTGGTAATCTATCTCTAGAGGATCCCAACTGTGTCTTCTATCGGTAGCTGAAGTGGTAACAACCAATACCAGGAGACATAGTCTTTGCACATAAACGAAGAAGTATGTCTGACCACTGTGTTTACCTTGGCCTACAATGAAGTCAACAAATCCTCCATAAACACTGGAACTTTAAATTCCTCTCTCCTCTGTTTTTCCCCTGTTTCATTGGCAGATGTTTATTTGAGTCCTTTTACAACTTAATGGCCCTAGATTTACTTACATAATGCTTTTCCAACTTGTTATTGTATTTACACAGTCGCTTTCATTACACTTCATTAAATTCATTGTTACCTGATGATTGGTCATTAATAGTACTTTTAAGTTTATACCATATCGTGGTTATTATTTTGCCATCATTATTATTGTTATTTGTCACCTTTGAAATTACGTCTAGTCTATCTCATTGGTTGGTTTATTTCTCTGTAGCTTTCATACTGTCCCAAAAACTACTGACTATACTCACCCTTGAAACCTGTACTCTTATTGTACAATTGGTGGATAGTGGCTAGCAGTGGAATCCAGGATAACGCGCATTTCCTCCTATTTGGGACTCGTCATCTGGATGTACCTGCATTTACCAGTCAGTGAGTGATGATGTTCCCACCGAGGCTCGAACCCAGTACCCATAGTTTCAAACGCCAAAGCGTTATCCACTAGACCAATTGGGCCACGAGAGCCACGTCTTGTGCAACGGGTCATATTAATTATTGAATTGAATTTTTGATTTTCCCGTCGATTGATTGGACCGAAGTGCTCGGTCTCAGGTTGACATGTCAGCTTCTTGTGCAGATGCTTCGACGATGTCTGGGTATTTAATTGGTGTACAATTGGTGGATGGTGGCTAGCAGTGTACTCTTATTGACTATATATATATATATATATATAATTTCCTCTGAGTTTGTCTCATGTTCTTATTGACTACACATTTCCTAAATGATAATCGAAGCTAACTGAGTATTAATCCATCTTGTATTTGTTCCATAATACGCCTTTTAATATAATCCTAATTTGTCTTTAGTGGCGTTATTGTAAGCTAAAATTAGTGAATTAATAATTGATTGGAGGATTTCATCTGGAGTTGACATCAGCAACATAACCATTGAAAAACCTGCAGGGAGTACTGAACAGCTGTTTCTGCCTAGTACTTGGAACTATTCATTAGTACTCACCCAACGCCAGGGTTCGAATTCAGGGCCCCCTGATTACAAGGCGAGCTCGCAGAACATTAGGCCACTAGAACCCGATCCAATGGCTAGTGCATGAATTCTAACTTTTGCCGATTCATAACATGGCGCCACCACTTCGTAATGTCTCCTTCGATGAGTACTCACTTTCAGCCTGCTGTACCTCACTGGTGATGACTAGAACCCCACTAGAATCCCAGGTAACTAGCTACCTGAATAAGGTCATTCACTTGTGAGTATCAGATCAATTTTTCAAATATTGTTTTTGTAGGGATTTTGTTTGACTGGTTGGAGGATTTCATCATCAGCTGGCATCGTATGTGTGTACTGCTGAAGAGTCCCAAACACTAGGACGAAACAGCTGTCCAGTACTCCCTGTTGGTTTCCCAAATTGTTCTCTAAGTGATGTTAACTCATGATGAAATCCTCCAGTCAGTTGAACGAAATCCCTACAAAACCCACACTTCAGAATTTATAATCGTAAAGCCTGGAGAAGAAGACGGATTTATTGAAGCCATAATTCCTCTCTCCAATCATTTTTGTTTGTTCTAATTTAAATTATGGGGATATTCCAGTTACAGAATAAACAATTCATAGGTAAGATGAATGAATGCTTTAAGAAATAGGATAACTATTTATCCAGTTTACTTAATTGGAATAGAGTTAAATGCCTTGTAATGAATGCCTTTGGACATAGAACACCTGTTAGAATTTAGCATATTTTAAACTGTTCATTATTATTCTTATTATTATGACTATTATGCCGAAGCAAAAGCAGAACAAAATAATTACATGAACTAGTGCACCTGTGCACTCCTGTCAGAATTTATATAAAAATGTAAAGATGTTTTATAGTAATAATACTATAGATTACTTCTAGTGTATTATAAAGGCATAATATGATATTATATCTATTTATTTTGACATTTTTAGAAGATAAGGCATAAAAATGTCATCATCATTATGGCCTTCTTACTACTGATGATATTCCTAATTGTGGTGGATTGGATTATGGGTTAGACCTTCTATGAGAAGCTATAGGACAGGAATACATTGAATCAATAAGAAGATTCTAGAAGACCTGAACTTCGTGTTGATGGTTTATGTCTAGTGTCAAGCAAACTCGAAGATAAACAAGAGAAAATCAGTAAGTTGAAAGAAGAGATAGGCAGTGAAGACAAAAAAAATCTGAAAGGCACCGCTTAATTCACGTATCGAGGCAGCATCTTTTTACCTACGGACACTCGACAAGGATGAGGATGCCAAAGCTGGAAACGGAAATGCGAGAAAGACCATCACTCTGAAATCAGCTTGAATATATATATCCTGCATAAACAGTAGGATTCGGATTTCTAATACCAGTATCAAGTCAGTTGGTTCTACATGTGTCAGGAACTTAGCGAACGCGTCACGAAAGGCATTTCAGACAGACCACTATAGACTTTTATCAATAGTTGTCTTTTGTTGTCCGAAGAGAGCCAATCGGAAATAATTAAGAACAAGTTATTCTCACAACATATCTGAAAAGCAACAATTTGGTAGAAGAAACATCAAAGATAGGACTTCCTTCAGGTGAACATAGAGAAAACAGAGTATGTTAGATATTGAATTTTCTTGATTACTTAAAAAGAAAACGAGCTACCTACTGCAATTCATTAAAATTTTGTCTAACTAGTATATTACTTCTAATAATAATAATAATAACCACTTTATTCCAAACTTTAGTAATTATACAGAATGAAATTTTCAGAGTTTTTATACATTTTGCAACATCTTGGCTCCTTTTATAAATATGTAGATACAAAAAATTAAAACAATAATTATAAAGTCTTTTTACGTGTTGATCACGGATTAATATCAGTTAGAGAACCATTGGAAACCTGTACTGAATAGCTGTTTCATCCCAGTGCTTCGGAATCATTGGTAGAACTCACCCTCCACCAGGGTTCGAACCCAGGACCTTCGGGTTACAAGGCAAGCTGGCTCGTATACCATTCAGCCATTGGGACGCGATTCAATGGTCATCCTGTGGATTCTAACTTCTACCAATTCGTGATTTAGCGCGACTAGCACCAACCAATGTCATCAGTGTGACATACATCTTCACACGTGACTGGATGGACGTCACTGGTCA